CACAAAGACAGAATAGAGGTGGATTCCGAAAAATATAATCAACTTGCAAAATTGAATAAACTGCTGAATCGATTCTTTGTATTTAGCAAAAGGAAGCATATCTAGGAACCTGCATACATTCTCTAGAAATTAACTTGATTTTTACAGTTGACAGAGTCATGTATTAGGGTCTGGATACCTGATACACTGGATGGACTATTTCATGCTGCCCTTGGAGACAAGTTGGAGAAACGTTAGTAGTATTGCAGCAGTGAAGTGAATTTACATAATTGACGCGTTACATCAACGAGTGTGAACTTTTACAAGATTCTAGTAGACCTGGAAAACATGGTGATAGAACTGAAAATATGTAGCCTGGAAAAGAAAAATGTTTTGTTGTTTTCCCTCTTGAGTAGTATGGGCATGGCAATTGTTCTCAAATATTTCTAATAGCTCTGTCATTAAAGACCAATTCAATATTCCTTGTATCTCGAGTAGGACAATTTGGGATCAGAAAGGCAGAATTTCTTCATGCGAGGGAAAATGTGTCTGTCAATAAGTCTAATAGAAAGGATATCTTTTGAGGTAGGAAATTTACTTTAAAGATGAGTTACTGCAGAGGTTGGATGCCTGTCTTGGACGTTGTCTAGTGGTTGCTCACATTGAAGGGAATTTGGACAAGATAATTTCTTTGGGCCCACTCTAAACTTTTAGAAAGCAAACGAACATCTTTCTCTTTGTCATCATGGCTGAAGGAGCATATTATGTTTTGTCACATAGAAAAGTCTTTCATTTTTAAGTGCCCTGATTTCAAGATGGACCAGTAATGAGAAAACCATCTAAAAGCCATGAATAACAAGAATTTTCTCAAGGCATTACATCATGATAAAAGCCATCAGAAAGAGGGAGCATTCTGGTTTCTTCCTTAATAAATAACCCCAAATATTTAATTTAGAAAATTAAATTAAAAATTTATTTTAATTTAATTTTGTTTTGTTTTTGTGTTTGAGACAGGCTGGAATGCAGTGGTGCAATCATGGCTCACTGTGGCCTCAACCTCTTAGGCTTAGGTGTTCTGTGCACCTCAGCCTCCCAAGTAGCTGGGACTATAGTCATGCAAAATTAAATAAACTGCCCCACTATTTTTTTTTTTTTTTCATAGAGACAAGGTTTTGCTATGTTGCCCAGGCTTGTCTCAAACTCCTGGGCTCAAGCAATCTGTCCGCCTTGGTCTCCTGAAGTTCTGGGATTACAGGTGAGAGCAACTGCTCCTGGCCCCAAAATATTTCTCTCTCTTTTTTTTTTTTTTTTTGGAGACGGAGTCTGGCTCTGTTGCCCAGGTTTAAGTACAGTGGCACAATCTCTGCTCACTGCAACCTCCACCTCCCGAGTTCAAGTGATTCTCCTGCCTCAGCCTCCCAAGTAGCTGGGACTACAGGCGCCCACCACCATGCCCAACTAATTGTTGTGTTTTTAGTAAAGGTGGGGTTTCACTGTATTGGCCAGGCTGGTCTTGAAATCCTGATCTCAAATGATCCATCCACTTTGGCCTCCCAAAGTGCTGGGATTACAGGCGCAAGTCACCATGCCCAGCCAAAATATTTCTTTTTTTTTTTTTTTTTTTTTTTTTGAGACGGAGTCTCGCTCTGTCACCCAGGCTGGAGTGCAGTGGCCCGCTCTCTGCTCACTGCAAGCTCCGCCTCCCGGGTTCGCGCAATTCTCCTGCCTCAGCCTCCCGAGCAGCTGGGACTACAGGCGCCCGCCACCTCGCCCGGCTTATTTTTTTGTATTTTTAGTAGAGACGGGGTTTCACCATGTTAGCCAGGATGGTCTCGATCTCCTGACCTCGTGATCCGCCCGTCTCGGCCTCCCAAAGTGCTGGGATTACAGGCTTGAGCCACCGCGCCCGGCCTATTTCTTAAATGTATCCAATCCAATAGAAGTTATGACCACTATATGATAATTTGTATCAAGAATGTTGCTTTTTCTCTTACATTCTAGTAGCAGTTTGTTGAAAAACAGGATCCCTTTGTAAATATCAGTAAATATTTTCTTAATGCTCAAAGTTATCCATAAGTTTTCCTTTTCTTTTCTAGACAGATTGTTGAAGGTCTTGATTCCTAGTTTAGAAAGTTAGTAGATGTTGACCTCTTTCATTGTGTAGTGTATGTGAAAAAATACAGTTTATATGACATCAGGTTCATATATACCTTATAACTGAAGTTGAATATTTGAGAAATGACATTTATACCTACCCACTAGTATAACACTCTAAAATTTTCAATTGAATTCAATCCAATTCATTAATAATTAAATACTGTTAATGCCCCACTACTTTCACAGAATTTTCAGCTTGAAAAGCACTGCTCTAATCAACAGTCATTGAAAATTCAAGTAATGGCAGAATAAATGAGATAATTCAAATCTTGTCACATAAGACATTTGATAAACTTGCTAAAGATAGATAAATTTTGCATCCTTATTGTACAAAAAGTCCTGGGGTTTGTGATACATTTGTACATTCTTCTTTGTTTCCCTTCTTCCCAGCTTTTCAGCCTCCTCTCCCTGTCTTCCCACAGAAAACCACACTCTTTGGCAGCAGCCTCTTGAAACGTGAAAGACTGTAAGAAAGATGCATAGATAGACTGCCTTCATTCTGTGCACCTTAAAGCTTTACAGCTAGAGAAGCAAGTTGTAGCCTAAAGCTTGTCTGTTTATGAGCACATTCAGGTGACTGCCGTGATAATGAAATTGCCGATACACTGCTCAGAGCTGCTTGGGTAACCATTCTTTTATTATTAGGACGGCAAACACGGTTTATAAGATCAAAGTGGACACCTCCTACAAGTTACATTTATTACAGGAGGCTAAAGTGTCCACATTCCTAGGAATCAATAAGACTTAAGGCAGAAAGATAGCAATATGCAATAGATGAATGCAATTTTTGACAGTTCAACAACCACCTAAGTAGGTGACAGAAACAAGAGGTAACCTAGTTCTGAAAGTTACCGATTCTGCCAGCTCTGTGGTTAAGCAAGGCGCTTGATACTGTCATAGCCACAGTCAGAGTCAGCCTGACAAAAATTTTGACTGTCAATACAGGCACCGAGAATGCTTTTAGAATTGTCTCCACTGCAGATTCCTCTGATAGCATTTTGATCCCACTGTTTCAGGAAGCAGGACCCCTACTCTGCGATCACAGTGCAAATAAAGTAAAGGTCATGATAACCAGTCACTATCACGGCATTTGGGAAGCCAGCCTGGGTGAGTTCCAGCCCTTAAAACATGGTACTTTCGCATTGTAATGGCCTAACTGTGGTTCTTCTGCTGTGGACCGGCATCTAATAACAGTTCTACCATGGTTAAGGCCTTTTGTACTCCTCTCCACATGCATGTTTTAAAATTTTTTTACATTTAAAAGGTTTTAAATTTATTTTCTTTTCTCATCTATATTTTAAACTGACACATAAAAGTTGTATATATTTATGATGTACGACATGATGTTTTGAAATATGTACACATTGTAGAATGGCTAAATCAAGCTAATTAATATATGCATCACCTCACACCCTTGTCACTCATCCCACCTTAAGCCCCTCTCTGTCAAGATTTTCAGATGGTTACCTTCAGAGAAGTCTGAAGAGCATCTCTCAGCTAAGCCCACTTCAAATGCTTATTAGAAACCCTTTTGCTTAGATTACTAAAAAGCTTTTCTAGTAGTTTAGAATATCTGTGAAATTTTGGCCAAAGCATTTGAGGAAGTAATAAAGGTCCTTTATTATTTCTTTACAAAAACTCTCCAGTAAGTGGAGAGTCAAAAGAGGCTGAACTCCAGAAGCTCTGGATATTTAATAAGAGCGCTTTATTTTACAAAAGAAACAACTTCTCTAGCGTGGTATCAAGCTAACGTCTTCTGAAATTCCCTTTGCTTCCCCAGGAGTTCATTTTTCTAAAGACTAGAAGTGTAGGAAACATTTTCCTGATAATTATGAAATGTTATTGTAATTTAAACTGTTAGTGTCAGAGAAGTGGTTTTTGTACTCAGTAGCTTCTTTACTGCCCATATTATTGATGAAAAGACAATAATATTTAATGCATTTTAAATGGACTCAGAGTGTGCAAAGCTTGATCACAGACATTTTTATTTTTCTTGTACTAAGAAAAACATATATAATAGTTTAAAAATAACAATTTTAGTGATGTCAAAGGGTGCAGTATGAGGAATAGATATATAGTATGCCTTGGGTTATCTCTGGGCTAACTGTTGGAAAAAGTTTACCATTTACTATGAATGGTCTTGATAGTCTGTCAAACTAAACTATACATATTTTTTTTCTTTTTCTTTAAATGCATACTTCTCTTGTCCACACTGAAAAAACAGGATGTCGTTTGGTAGAAATTAATCATTAGATCATTGCTGTACCTTCTTCTCTGTACAGTATGTACTAAATTAGGGGCAGGATTATCAAAGATAATTGACTCTGGATATATCACTTTGATTGAATTCCCCATGGATATATCACTGAATTCCCCAGTTGTGGGAACACCTGCTTAGGAGCACACTTTCATTATAGGTAAACAATTTCCAACAGGGTGTAGAAAGTAGTCTTAAACACTGGTTCATATTTTATATCAATTTCTAATAAAAGAAAAACAAAATAGCTATTTTCAGTAATCCTTTAGGGAGAAGTCAAAAGAACAGAGACACCTGAAAATAAGAAAGTGTCTAAGAAGGGAACATGCCTTCCTTCTATATGTATTTTCTGTTTATGCATTTTTGTGGTTCTTTCATCTGTACAGTTTCATGGTTAGCAAAGTTTAAGAAGGGGTGATCCATGAATTCAGCACAGCTTGTAATTTTCTACAGGGTGTAGGTCTGACCTTTCTCTGATGTTTTGCATATTGTTACCACCTGTTTTATTCCATTTTGTTAGAGATAATTGTCTTCTTGAGCCCAGGTTTAACACTGCAACGAGTTACCTGCCCTCACTCCCTTGGCCCCTCCCTTGGCTGCTACTCACTCAAAAGGGTCGCTGGGATCTGCCCTCTGGAGCTCTGGAGGGATGGGGATTCTTTTGTAGTACATTTCCCAGTCGAAGGCTCCTCGCATGGCATCCCCAGCTTGTGCCTCATACCCAAAGTGATTGTGGTCAATGACATCGATCATGGGACACACGATGGTTTTGTGGTTTAGTGCAATTTGGTCTGAAAAATGAAAGCACAAAACAGGAAATGACATGCCTGCCTAGGTCATCTATCATTTTTCAGCAAAGAGAAGCCTATAGTCCCCTACTAATGCATAACGCTTGTAGCCTTGGCTTCCTGTCGTCCTTAGAGCACTTTTCAGCAATCTCTGAATTCTGGACTTAACGTGATGGGACAGCGATTAGGTCCAATTAGAGTTATTGTATTTTCCTTTAAGAAAGTTATGTCCCAGAGAGACTTGCAGAAGTCCATTTAGCTCTCCCTGTGTCACATTTTTGCTCTGACCTGTCCCCAATCTGTCATTTTATCGTGCATCCAACATGCACAGAGTATGAACAGTAGTTGTGTTCTTTCAAGCATACTGCTGGAGCCTGCTGAGAAAATACTGGCCTGCTTTCCGGAGGTTCCAAAATGTGAATATTTAACTTCATGGATCTTGTGGCATCTAATCTCATAACAATCATGGTGGCTGCTCTCCTATAAATGCTGACAGATCATGCATAGAATTCTTTGCTCTCAGGTTTGCCAGAGATTTTTCCAAGTCCTATTTTGCCGCTGTTCTTGGAGCTAAACTCTGTTGATCAAAGCTATACATTTTCTTCCCTCATCATATTTGAAAAAGTATTACGTGATATTATACTACTGCGATTACTTCTACTACTCTTAAATTCTTGAGTAACTACCAAGTGATTTATTCTCATGCTATTCCTAATACTCTTAGCAACCCTGTAGGGTAACTATTATTGTTATCCCCAATTTATGTATGAGGAAGGTAAGATTAGAGAAATTAAATAACTTGTCAAGGGTTATGCAGCTTTTGAGGGCAATAACCAAGATGCAACCTCTGCTTAATAATCCAATTTCAAACCTGACCTTTCGATTGTTCGATTGTTCTCATGGTAGCAGAGAGGTGATTTGTTTTTTTCAGTTCCAGCACCTTCCTTTCCTATGTGGCTATGGTTATTGTGATGACTTAACAGGTAGCACAGGGCACTGGCATTTGCATCCTTTGGTTTAGCTAGAATACCTATCCCTGAGGAAACTTTCTTTCCAAGAATGTAAATTTAGTTAATATTTATTGTAACAGACCAGTGCTGTCTAATAGGCAGACCTTCTTGTTATTCGGAAGACCTTTAGATGTGACAATAAACAAATAAAAAACATATCATTTAGCACAATTAGGAAGTTTGGTTATTTCCATATCATATTTTGTTTCCCCAGGGATTGTGGAGTAAATGTAATTTGTTTTGGGGATAAAGTTCCTGCAGTAAGGAAACTATCTGTTTACTTCAGAAGTTTGTTTCTCTTAAGCATAGGATAAAAAGCATAAGGTTTTACTGGTTGTAATAATAAGTGGTTTTATTTTGATGACACTGATGAAACGGATGGAAACCACAGAATTTTGTGAACACTTTCCCCTCTAGGTCTATATGCCTTTCCATCCGTCCGTCCGTCCGTCTATCCATCCATCCATCCATTTATCCATCCAGTCATTCTTTTCATATTTCAACAATTATTTATTGATTAGAAACTATGTGGTAGTCACTTTTTCTAGGTTCTGGGGATACCATGATGAATAACATCACAAACGATTCTGTCTTTAGGAATGAAGCAAAGACAATGAATAAACATAATAAATAGCTAAATTGTATAGTGTTTTAAAAGGTGATAAATGAGATGGGAAAAAGATAAAACAGGGGAAGGGGAATGCAGGATACTGGAGCGTGGAAAGGGTTGCGATTTTAGAGCATGGTCCTGGTAAGCCACAAAGAGCCAGAGGTGGGCTTAGTCTTACTTCAGTTTAATTAGCAGATGAAGAGACCCCCCAGCACCATTTCTAGTTAATCTCCACCTAGGGATGGCTAAGCATTTGTTTTTTACCAGGGCAAGCCTTATAATGGCTTGAGATGTCTTTGACAGAGGAGACCGACGTTGCTGGGTCCAGAATATTTTTTATCTCATCCCTGCAGGTATTTTAGTATTAAAGTTTCAGTGACTTTCTTCAATCAAATTCAGAATCAGGTTGATTAACAAGTTCCTTGACCATCAAGGAGTCCCAAGGTGACCCAAAGAGAATGTGTCTGTTAAAGTAACTGTCAACTTTTCCTTCAAATTTCCTTTTCACTCTTATCCAGCTGTACTAGCTTAGGTTGAAAGCAGCATGACTAATTTTTCATCCAAGGCTTGTTCCTACATTTCAATTTCCAGGGATCAAACAAACAGACTTAATGGGAAATTGAAATTCAGGTATAATCCCAAGGTGAAAAATGAGCCAAGAAACTGTGGCTTTGCCTGTTTTTTCATTTTGGATGATGTGTCAAGACACTGATAGAGGAAAATAAAAAAAGATAGTGATCCTGAACTTGAATCATTTCTTGTCCATCAGGACTACAGGAAATGAAATACTTTAATGAGAAATGTGGGTTGTGGGTTTCTCTTACTCTTTTTTTATTTCTGTCATCTTCTTTTTAATTAGATTCATAGTGAACAATCAGACACTCAATAATTGGCATTTAGGGATTTGCTTTGATTCATAAATAAATTAGGCCTTTTGCTGACTTCCTTGATTATTCAACACCATATAGGTCAAATTCTGTTTGAGGGAATCTCACTGTTGCTGATGAAGCTCTAAATTGCTGTGTCCTTGGACAAGGTACTTGTAATTAAAGGCTCAGAGGAGTCTCTGACTGCAGGGGCACCGAAACATTCTGGTTGATTAGGGTAGCTGGGCAGTCATCTGTGCAGGGGTATGTGGCTGGGCAATGTGGTGGGGGGTGTTGGGTGCTGGTTGTTTCCTGTTTTAAATCCTGTACAGTTTCAATTGATTTTCCCCCCACATCTTTTACTAATAGAGCTTTGCTGGTTCTTGCTGAAAACCTACACAGTAGTCAATAGCAAACTGTTCTTTCTGAGACAGCTATTGTGAAGGCAGTTGCTAGCGACTTTAGTTCCAAGGCCAGGGATATTTTTACAATAAAAGTTGATTTAGCAAAGTCAGAAAGGAGAACACTATGTGTGCACAGAGAACTTTTTAGAAGGAGGGTTTTTTTTTTCAAACTGACTATTTCTTATCTACAACTGGACTTGATATTTTACTTTGTTTTAAAACAAAAGTAATGAAGCTTGAACTGAACCACACGTATGTTTTCTACCTTAAATTACTTTCAGTTCTTTTGTGTATCTAACAGTCCAAGTGTGTTATGACATAATCTTGTTTCCCTCAGCTTAGCCATATTGTGAGCATTTAAGACACAGCACCTGGACAGCTGCACTGTGTTTGAAGGAATCTCTGTAAATACAGGGAACTGTATATTTAGGGCTATAGGATGGTGCCAAAAGTGGAAAGAATAACAGAAAAGAAATGGCATTATAAATCCTAGAAAATGCCAAGGTGCTTACACTTTAACTGTATTCTGGGGATGAATATTTTTTCTTCCTCTTTTCTTAACAATCCTGTAATACTTGTTCAATGTGTGTGTGTGTGTGTGTGTGTGTGTATTTTAATCTTGCTGTAGTTACAGGACTATAAAAGAGTTTTGGGATACATTTTTCTTTTAGTGTTCACCCAGTGAATTTGACAACGCTAAAGGAGGATATCTAAGATAAATGAAACCTTTTTAAAACTGTAAGTTAGCTTGAAGTTGGTATTATTTAAAATGCCAATTTTATGGCATTATGTAGAATACTGCCTGAAGCAGTTACCTAGAAAACTGTTTTCAGCAGTGGTAAATATAAAATTGAAGGCTTCTACTGGAAACCTTGTAGAAGGGCCCTCTAGCATTTGTTGATTGCAAACTAAATAGAAGCAAACCGCTCACTCCCCCTGAGGCATCCCATGATGGTGCCCTAGCAACCTGTACTCACTGAGGAGTGGGGGCAGCCAGTTCACATTGACCTCGCAGTGGGAGTCCAGGAACGTCAGGACTTCTCCTCTGGCCATAGATGCCCCCAGGAGACGGGTCCTGATGAGTCCTTCTCTTTTCTTGGTGCGAACAATCCTCACTTTGGAAAATCGGGCCATATATTCTTCCAATTTATCCTTCAAGTGTTCTAGGAAGGAAGTAGAAAATGCTTAGAAAAAACGCCAAACATTAGTTGCAGCTGAATTATTCATGGTTGGTTGTGCATAGAGAGTATGTGACTGATGAATCCTGGGGTAACATTCTTCTCTCCTCGTCTACATGGAAGATACTAATAAGGTTTTCGGATCCTACAGTTTTCCAAAATGCTTTTTAAACTGCAAATATTGCCCTTTTTTGAACACAAAAGTCACTGACATGCCAGAGGTCTGTTACGCAGTTACTGCTGGTTGACAGCCACAGCGTGTAATCCTAGCCCACACTCCAAAGATGGGCTTCTGCCCTCTGGCCCCTGCTGGGTAAAGTCAGATGAAAATCCTGGAAATGGGCTCTTTCCAACCAAAGAGTTCTTTATAGCAAGGCTTTGCCCAATATTGTGTGTATTGAAAATAATGCATGTAAAACAACAGGAAAGAAAAATATCTGTCATATCAAGAAGAACCAGATTCTTTCCCCCACAAGTTAATAGCAAACTAGTAAGCAAGTTTAGCGTCTTGCTTCTGATTTGAAGTGGAAAGATGACTGACTACAGATGAAATACTATACAGTCGTTTGGAACTTACCTATTAAAGATTTGGAAATATTTCTTAGCGATTTAAATTTGGAAATGTTTCTTGCCTAATTAAAAACAAATAGTGGAAACAAAATCAAATCGGATAATTTATTCACAGAATAAAATATTTCCTACTGTCTGTGACAAAACGCATCAAGCTCTCAGTTCTTACTATGTCAGATAAGAGCATTTGCTGCCTTCCTGGGGTCATGTACTTATATGCTTTATATCCTCTGCTTTCATTCTGCTGGATCTAAGACATTATGAGGGTTGTATTGGAATCTCTGACAGGTATAGTCTAATATTCATTGAAGTAGAATCTTAGTATGCATATGCTCTGTATTTTTCGCTTTTCAAATGTTCTCTGCATGTCTGTAATCAAAGGCAATATTACGAAGTCTCTTTGCATGATCTGTAGCAATAGGGATTCATGTAGGATTTGTGATTCCTTCCTGCTATCCAATGTAACAGATGTCAGAATTACTCTGTATTGGAGTTTCTCTGTGCATAGAGGTTCATTCTCATTTCTTATTAACTAGTACAGTTTTATAAAATCTTTATTTCCCTTTTTATTGACTGTTCTATGTTTCACCAATGGGTCAATGAAAACAATATTTGGCTTTCTAATTTTCACTGTAAAAGAATACAGATGGGGCCGGGCATGGTGGCTCATACCTGTAATCCCAGAACTTTGGGAGGCAGAGGTGGGAGGATTACCTGATGTCAGGAGTTCAAGACCAGCCTGACCAACATGGTAAAACCCAGCCTTTACTAAAAATTCAAAAATTAGCCAGGCATGGTGGTGGGCACCTGTAATCCCAAATACTTGGGAGACTGAGGCAGGAGAATTGCCTGAACCCGGGAGGCGGAGGTTGCAGTGAACTGAGATTGTACCGCTGCTCTCCAGCCTGGGCAACAGAGTGAGACTGTGTCTTTAAAAAACAAAAACAAAAACAAACAAACAAACAAACAAATGCAGATGGAATTTTCCATGAGAGTGATGTGTTCCCCTCTATTTTGTTCTTCATGTAAGTAACAGGGATATGAAGATCAGACTATGAAAAGCAAACTTTTTTTCCAGGGTTGGAATCAGAGTAGGCCTGGGAGGGAGGTCTACAATGGTGATACATATGAGTAGGTCATGCAAACTCTTGAAGCCTGAATAGCCTCACCTATAAGACGTAAAGGATTTAGGGGATTATTTTTTCCTTCTAGAATGTGGTGGACAGTCAAGCTTTGAATTAGGCTTCAGTGAGATTGGTCAGTGTTCATTCAACAAACATTTGTGTATTAAGCCAATAATCGAAGACTAGTAAGTCACTTGTATGTATGAATAAAAACAGCATTTTTATCTGAAGAAATGCCTTTGAATGCTGAGCACGAATGATAACAAATTTAGAATTTTCTTTTTCCTGGTGAGATTTTGATAATTCATCATCTTGTATCTCTTGCAAATTAAAGGAAGAAGTTTTGGCAAGCCACAGACTAACAAATATGAGTATTTAAGCAGTATTGTGCTCTCTCAACTAAGAGGCAAGTTCTACTGTGTGCCTCTTTGCTCCTGCCCCTCTGCTCAGTGCTCCCCAACACGATGGCTTCCTTTCTCCACTGTGTGTAAGCTGCAAAGAAAGATTCTACAGGCTATACAACACACTGCCTATGTGTAAAACTGCAGCTTTACTCTCTTGTCAAGGGACTAAAGAAGACGCAAGTGACACCACTGCACAATCAAAGGCGATGACTAAGTGATGAGTGATCAATACAAGGACGCCACTATGTGTCAGCATCTTGAAAGGGCCATGTGCTGTCGGATTTCTCACAGTAATAAATATTTAAGAAAACTTTATAATCTCATTACTGTAATTTATTTAGGTATTGAAATCTTTCTGTATCATCAATTTACAAACAGGTTGCATTCTATATATTTAATTGTAAATCGGTTGTTTGGACCACAGAAGATATTGTCTCATGGAAAAAGTGTCTCAACAGTCATTGGGGACTAAACAGAGATAATCGATATTTGTTAGGCCTACTAAAATATATTTTTCCCCTTCACTATTCATTTGTCAAATGTCACACTATGAGGACTACCTCAGCAGTTCAAGTTGCATTTACGTTTTTCCTCCCTGACACCCAAGGACTAAAGGGGCCTCTCTTGGGAGAGAGGAGGAGAAATGAGTAATTTCCTATAGCTCTATTACAGGGAGTTGTTGTAGAATATTCTAACTCCCCAGGTCTTCCAAAGTGAGAGTCAAAGGGTTAAGTCACCTGAGAGTGGTTGTCCCAACTTTGGATTTAGACTTTCGTATTCTTCGGTTGATAGGAAATTCTCTAGAACTCAGTGAGGGTTGTCTCTACATGTTTTCTATTTTTCTGTACACATTTTCTGATACTGCATATTTTTCCTATATCAAAGCCCATTTTAATTTACTAAAAAGATTGTATAGTGTGAATTCATTAAGCATAAGGGGTTTGACCCTTCAATAGTGTCCATTAGATGTTTAGATCAGTTCTTCTAGTTTGAACTTTATGGTGATAATTAGCTTGCTCTGCCTCAGATAATGATCTGGTTGACTGTGCTTTGAGGGGTCCTTTCTCTCTTAGTAGTTCATTGTAACATCTAATTACCCATAACTCACAATGAAGGCAGGTATCATCAGTCTAATTAGCAAATTAAACTCTCATACAAGGGATTTACTGAAGATGGTGGAGATGACTTTAAATTAAAAACATTTTACCTTTCTTTGGTAAGAACAGGGTTTAGATTCATTTCTTTTTTTTTTTTTTTTAGTTATTTTAAAACTTTTATTATGGAGAATTTTGAACATACATAAAATTAGATACTATTACTGTTATTTTAAAAGATATCCTTCATCCAGCCCCAATAGCCATTAACCCATGGTTAGTTGCGCCCCATCTGTGTGCTAATTCACTCCCCCCATTTCTCTTATTTTGAAGCAAATGTCAGACAAAAGACCGTATTTTAGTCAAGGGTTCTCTGGAGAGGGTTTAGATTCATTTCTAAAATGTTATTAACATGATTTTAAACATAATATGCTATTATTTTAATTCAAGTATTGCATTTTTGCAGGTCACTTTTGAACTTCCTTAATTTTAAATAATATCAAGGAAATTTACAGGTTTTATTTATAAGCCAGGCAGATCTGCCTAATGACTTTGAGACATTTGCAAAACTGTTCGTAATTTTTTTGATCCATGGTCCAGACAACCAGTGAATAAATTATTGTTAAAATCCACTGAACACCAGTAAATCCCGATGACATGGAAAAATGAGTACAACTTCAAAAACAGCAGCTTTTGCCAGGGCTTATTGTGTCACTGTGAGGCAATAATGAGATAAAAAGTTGTATTCCAACGAAACTTTGACGTCATGTTACTGTGAATACCAAATTTAGCAGTTTTGTACAATGTAGTTTCCTCTTTTTTTTCAGAGATTTCACTTACGTGCCATACATTTATATGGAGACTAACCACTCATTAGTGAATTTAGTGTTTAAGGAGGCAACTAAACACCAAAAATATTAACCTTCAGCAATTTGCATAGTAAAAAGAGTCAAAGACATGAGTCCTAGTACTGTTGCTGACTGGCTGCGTGACTTTGGATAAGTCATTTCACACCATATGACCTCATTTTCCTCAGCTATAAGATGAAGGATGTGTGATTGGCTCATCACAATTATTCCTTCTAGTTTCTAATTCTACAATTTCCCTTGTGATATTTTACTTACTGAGTAGATCCAGTCCTATCAAATCCTTAGTTTTTCCTTTTAAAAGCATCCCAGTGGTTGGTATTTTGGTATTTTCTTTTGACTATGTCTCACTTTGGAAAGAGACAAGTCAAAATAAAGTGAACTTGTATCACAGGGTTAGTCAAAAAACAAACTCCAGAGCATTTTCTTTGGTCACTATGGGATCCATCTGATCTTGTACAGTTCACTGTCTATAAGACTGCCACTAATGTCAGAATAATGACTTTGAAGCACTGTTAGTTCATCAAAGATTTAAATCTGTTCAATAAATTATGCTTATTATGTCAGAAAAATGCAGTCACAGTTTAGAAAGCTTTGAGGGATTGTTCCCAAGGGGGCTGACAAGTTAGTGACCATCAGTATTAGAGAGCCTGGCCAGGACATTGCTAAGTGGAAGACTCACTAAAGGTCATGCCAACAGTTGCCCCAGGCTCAGCAGTTGGTATGGAGGCCCAGCCACTTGTTGCTTAGTTCTTTCTGTTTCCTTTGAATTTCCTAATTTACATCTGAAGGGGAGAGCAAGAGGGGCCAGGAAACACTATTGATCTGGAGATACGGATTTCTGTGTTTAAGTACACACCTATGGTGATGACATTTCTTTGATGTTTATACTTTGGTGTTGGCTGATTGCCATAAGATCATGTAGAA